TTTGCCATTAGGCCTCCTCGCTCCCCTCGGACGTTTCAGGAAAATGGCGAGAATGCTTAAGATTGATAACTGTAAGTTCAGTTATAACAATGTGCTAAGTTTTCAAGTCATGAGCGAGTCTTACCGATCATCGTCCAGGTCTCGTAAACAGGCGTCTGTTCAATGATTTCGTAGCTCAGATCTTCAAAATAGATGTCCAAGGAAATTATGTTCTTTCTGGATTAAAAAAAAATTCACATATGAAGAAAATTAATTTTTAAGTTAGGAAACACGAAACAAAAACAAATCAAGTTTTTAAGTGTACCCGAGGTTGGTACTCCATTTGCCTCCGATTGGAGTCGCAGTGCGACAGATACTAGTCAAGACAATTGTTGTATCCATTACCTTCATTTATTACGACTGATTAAGTATCCTCCCTCTGCCTGGAGTATCTGTGATGGCAAACTAAGCAAACTACGAATGGATAGCAAAGAGCGAACAGAGTAATTTAAACCAGATCTGTTTGTTTCTTGCTTCTATAATCTGCCAGTTTGCATTTGTTTGCCGGGTTGCACTTCTTCCACTAGACTGCAAAACAACCAGCTTTTTGGTTTGTTTGTTCGCCCTCTCTTTTCCACAAGGGAAGCTTACTAGTATACATTAGTTCACGTATTTCCTCATTCAGTTGGAGATACCAGTCTAAGTAAAGCACTCACTCAATGTATCTCTCTCGTTCAGATGGTGTCATGTTCAACAGGGGCTCGTAAATCGCTCGATCCACTGACGTGTCATTGCTCTTAAGGAAATCCATGAGATGATCGACGAAGCTTTCGGGCTGCAATGCGCTGTAAGAGAAGGAAGTCTCGTATTCCACATGTTCACAGGGTTCAGGACAGTTCTTGTCACAAGATTCTTTTTCACTAGAGGCTCCAAACTCTTCTACAATGAAATATATAATATATATATCATTGAATAAATTTAACTCAGATTAGCTCATTTCATAAGAGGTTACCTTGCACCAGTAGTTTGGTCAATCTATCATTATAATAGTATTAAATACACAACAACTCTCTTTGGGGTTCTTTTTATTGCCTAGACCACCGCGCGATACCCTCAGGGAGGGAGGGATGGGACAAGAAATCTTACAATCGTGTTCAACCAAGGTAGAATGTTCTAGCTCATTCTCTCTTGGTTCAACGCGTCAGCTGGCTAGAATCGCATAATGCCTCACACCTGGCAGCAGCTTGCATATATACATGGGCTTGGCGCTGAACGTCCGTCGCATGTATTTAATCCTGATAAACAGGTTTATCACTCACGATAAGAGTGATAATTAACACGAAAACCACTATAACGTGATCCCCAGTAATACAGACTCACCATAGGAATTGTAAACGCAGAGCACAGAGTCATTCGGCGCACAAATCGGAGCATCCGCTTCAAAAAGAAAATGAACAAATTTATTCCGATAAAGTTATTTTAATATCCTTTAATGAATTCTTCCTTCACATATTTTTAATTCTATTTTAGCAACTTGTTGCTAGAATATCTTCTTAATTTTGCCTTATCAAAAGTCCTCTATGAAGGTGTCCGGCTTCCCGGACCCGTATAAGAGCGAGCGAAATTCTAAAATTATTGTGGAAACCTCTTGGCATGCTGTTTTTGCTGAATACAGATGTATTTCAAAAAGTGGCAATTAACCCAAGAACTCAGAAAAAAATAATTATTATCCAGGCCAACTGTTAAAAAACTAATCTCAATTTTCATGATCGAAGGAAACTATCTTGGTCTATCGGAAGAGGTATATTGTTGTTTTCAGTAACGGTAAATCTCATCATTCAGTGAACTCGCCCGCTTACGGATATTAAACATCCACAAAGACACTCACTGGTTAATGTAAAAAATGAAGAGCCATTACTATACCTTTAAATTCAGGCGGTGTACAGCCGCATCTTTTGACAGTGTAATGTAACGCCGTAAAATAGTACGTCCGAGAGAAACACATCCGTATTTGTAGCGACAACTTGTACAGGTCACTAGACAAACACGTTAAACAAAGTATGCCTCCTTTCAAGTTAACTATCTGTAAGAAAATAAGTGCTTTTTTTAATTAGTAAAAAGCTGCGGAAACTCATGCTCATGACACAATTGATCTTCTAGATTCATTTAAGGAGACCCATATTTAATGACCAGAAAGAACTTTTACAAGGGCATTTTTATGACAGCCGATGAGCTATTTTTTCTCTTTTTCACACATGCCCTGCCCCTTTTCCCCACCCCACAAAGAACGTACGGCGTTAAACGTTTGTTTCCAAACTTTTCCCGAGTTACAGCATTCTAAAGGGTGGGCGAGAAGGAGAACTCCAAAATATTTTTGAAGACGTTGCACTGTTTTATGAGGGAAACCAGAAATTACAGTTACTTTATTTTTTTTATTTTTTATTTTATTAGCTTCGCCAAAATAAAACAAACAAACAGAAAGAACGTTGGCAGGGACACCGCAACAGCTGTGGCCAATTACAGCGGTCTCGGATACTAATAAAGAAATAAAAACAAAAATATTAAAAACAACAGCGATACAAGAAAACTACAGCTACATACAACAAGTTATTGGACGAGACAAGGGACGAGCACTATTACATTTTAAACGGATAGACTTGAACGAAAGTGGGTCTTCATAAAAAAAGGCATAGGAAACAGCTGACGAGGACTTATAATGATTAAAAATAACCGATTTAAAGGAAGCTAAGGTCGATGAACTCAAATCTAGTTCATCCGCTAAACAATTCCAAATTTTACTAGTTCTAATAAGAAAGGATTTCTGGTACGTAGTAGTTTTACATTTCTTAATTATGTATTTATTAACATTACTGGGTGAAGATCTAGTGCGTCTACCGTATTTACGAACTTCAGGTAGGTCACAGAGGAGTTCACGTTAACAAGACCCTTGCGTCAATTTGAAAAAAAAAAGGTTAGATCTAAGAGTTTATGCCGGTAACAAATAGGTATTAGGTTTAGAGTTTGTAAACGAGACTTATAACTTATATTAGAAGAGTAAGGCAGTTTTAAGATAAACTTAGTCGCGCGTCTTTGGATCGGCGCTCAAGCTTGACAATGAAGTCGATGGACAGTGGGGCCAAAATTTGAATCACTGTCCCAAGGACTTTTGTCTAAGATTGTAGGAACTCGAAATTTTTCCTTGATTCATTTCAGTGCAAAGAAGATCACTTATCACTCAGTTGCTGGGAACCAAGCCACAGACTAACTGGGGTTTTTTTTTATGAACTTCTCCAGTTAAACCGTCTTGTCTATCTAGGATAATTAAACAGGTTATCAGATATTAGTAAAATCCATTGCAACTAGTGGTCTATTATCAATGCTGCGTTCTGATTGGCTGAGCCACTACTAGGCTATATGTTATAGCCCTCTAGTAGCGAAAAGCGCGGGCTTTGAAAACCAAAACAATAGCGGCTGAATCGCGTTTTGCTAGCTAAAGTTTTTTTGTCTCGATATTTTTGACCAACTAGTTGGATTTTATTAAAACCCTCACGGCCTCTGAGTCAATAGCCCATGAGGCCAAGGCCTCATGGGCTATTGACTCAGAGCCCATTCGGGCTCGCGGAATAATTGTTTAATATTGCGCGCTAGTCTCTAACCTTTCTTTTCCTAAAGGCACAAAGAGTTGAAATGCCTGGCTGTACGGTGGTACCAAAGTCCTCCATGAAAGGAAAACTTTTCTGGTCGTGGATAATAATTGCAAGACCAACTGTTGGGCGAATGTTAGTAGCCAAGTAGCTGTCCCTTTCTATGTTAAGTAGAAGCCTTAGTCCACTATTTTTACCAGATAACGTTGCATAGAGTAACGGTCGACCGCTTTTCAGAGAGTTAAATGTGTAACACAATCCGTATAATGAACTCACGTGACTCGTAAAGTTATTTGCTGTGCACTTTTTCCCATTTACAGAGCAAGAATGAAACTGTGGGCTTACTGGAAGGAGCATTTCTTCGATTTGATGACTGAGCATCAGTTGTGCCATAATTTCACTTGCGGTTTTTTGACGTTGAAAAAATTCTGGATTTCGCTTGACAAACTCATCGTTAAATGCCTTTTTGTCTTTGTTCACAATAACAAGCACGTCTTGAATTTTTTTCTCGATGAAAGGTTCACTGAAATTGTGGGATTTTAATATGTCTCTATATCTTCGTGTGTTAAAGGAATTCAGATTACAAAGCGACACAGCGGGGAAAAAAGACTCGTTGGTTTCAGTTGTGCTTGTTGAAACTTTTGTAATGAATGGTCGCTGACTAAATGCCACCAGAGTCTCACAAACTTGATAAATACAGAAACTAAAACTGCCGATGAGGACCAAGGTCCATAAAACTCTCCTGAAGACGTTTTTGTCGCACAAATATCTTGCTCCGTGTAAGGTTGTATCATTGGCGAACGACTCTAATCCCCCATTAGATTTTTCATCGGCTTTCTTGTTTTCTTGGTTGTGAGGGAAGTGTGTATCATTTCTCACTCTTTTCATCCCAATACTTTTCTTATTTGCCTCTATTATACGCAAAGTTTGCGAATTCATTCTAGAGAGTCTCGGCCAGGATATGCGATTTAAAATTTAAAAAACCGCCTCTCTAAGCGGCAGGTTTTCCTCTAACAAGTCAAAGTTGAGGAAAAATTAATATATTGGCACAGGAGCCTTCATTTCAGGGTATTTTTCTTCCTACTGTTATGAAAATTACATAACGAAATATAATGACAAAAGCTTTAAATGGAAAGTTCACTTTTCATGTAGTTCTTTGGTAATTAAAAGTGCCTGAATTTCTGAATAACAGCAGGAAATTGTCTTCACAAAAGCGAGCAATTTGCCAATACTTTTTAATCGCGCAAGTTAGTAAGAATTTAGTTAAAAGTTGGAATAAAGATATTTATTTTGTGTTACTGAGAAACGTTAGCTCAAAGAGATCGTAAGAAAAAATAACAAATGGCAGAGACAATTAAGGCTTTGTGTTCTTTACCT